CACCAAGCCTGCGTGGGTCCTGTACGGAGCAACAAATCCAGCCGAGAATCCCATCTAGAGCACCAACTATTAGAAATCATAGACAGCACTTGTTACCAGGCGTTCATCGAGGTATCATATTACATGGCCGTTGAAGCAGCCTTGTTTCCCTCACGGTAATCTCCCTCAGCAAAATCCCGTGGTTAGATTTCGGCATTTCTTCTTGCATTACGACACACACAATTGTGGGTGAATTGGTGCAATATGCATGTGCTGTGGGTCAACGCTGAATATATCGCTTGGGTGCGCTTGCAAGAGCACATAAGCCAGCAATTCAGATTTGCAAGCGGTCCAATATTCAAATCCACGCCATCGCGGATGGGTTTCCAATGGGTGGAGCGAAGCAATGGCCAGTGTGATGGCGAAGTCCGCAGAGCCGAACGAGCCCCAAACATGCACAGAGCGTCGCATCAAAGTTATTCCACAAGTTGTGCTTCTCAAAGTCTCTGCCTCGTTTATTGTGTTTATAAACACAGTTAGGACAGAATAAGACGCAAGTACATTCCATTGAAATCACGGCGCGGTGTGTTTGACCCATCCTCTACTTCCTTTCACTGGTCTGCCTTTCAAGTAGCATTTATTCGGCATTGATACTGGGCATTGCCCAATCTGCAAATGCATAATACTTCAAGCCTTGCAATTCCTCTTGCAGAAGAGTTGTTGGACGATGAGGAGGAGCTGGTGCAATAATGTTCATGTTGCTTCACGATCTACCGTTGGTGCTCACGCTGCACAAAAGTGCTTGCATTATTAGCCCGTTTATTGGTGCAAACAAGTATCCAGAATTTCCAGAAGACACGCCACAGTCACGCCATACAACGGCACGGAAGCCACGCACTCCCGGTTCCCATTTCACCGTTCCCTTTTCCACCTAACAGATCACGAATCAAACGTAATGTAAATATGAAGACAAGTGTCACCAGGGGGAAGCTGCGTGTTGGCGATGCCAATTGAGATGCCATTTGACATTGATAGAGGCCGGAAGAGCTAGTAACTTGGGTAAAACTTTGCCACGCATGATGCCGTCGAATCATAGACGCTTTCATAAGCAGCTTTTCCATTCTGTCCCCTGATCGACATTCATCCTCGTCGACCTGATTCTTTGGCAGGGTGATACAGACGGGCGAGCTATGCTACTGTATGGGACTGTAGAGTGCAGGTAAATGCAAAGGCAACTCGCCACAATCGCCCCTAAGCAACAAGCCGGGGGACAAACTGTTCACACCACTCTTCAAATACTCACCACTCTTCACCAGCTCTTCAAATACAAGAATTTGTTCGCCTTTCCTGATGCCTCCAAAGTCTTTGGATTTTGTCAAGCCCAAAAAGGACGATTCCAACCACTTCAAACTTCACGGTCAGCGCACCGTTCTCGTTGGATTCAATGATATTGGCTTCGCTAGATTGACACAAAAATGGTGTCTCAGCTGCACCAAATTAAATGAACACCCAACACAGAACACCAGGCTATTGGGTATCGCAGGTCTCTTGGGGTACTGTCACCCCTTGAGATTTCGATTTTATTCTCATGTTTTCTCGCTCCCACGAGCATCCTGTTGTCATGCAATTATGCGTCGAAAGGCTTTCGCAAAACACAGCAATGTATTACTAAACAAATATTTAGAGTTGCCGGCAACACCTTCTGCTGGGCTTCAGCCCGTTTGGGACTTAGAAAAATACCTATTTAGCATTGTTTGTATCATAATAGGGCTCATAAAATATTGTGTCAACGTCAATGCCAATGCCGATGGCAGTGATACTTGGCATTGAAGTGTTTGAAAGCTCAAAGCAGCAACTCGGGACAAAAGAATGAATGTCAACACCCTGCGCTTCAATAAGGTGGCTCGCCCAATGGAATGGGCCATTCCATTGGGAGAGCCACCTTATTGAAGCGCAGCATGATATGCCCTCCTTCAGGTTGCAACCCGCATGCAGCACTGCCGCGCCGTGCCGCAGATTTAGTGATTAGTTCGTCATTATCTTCGAAGACAAGTCACATCTAGGTCCTAAACCCAAAATTGCTGGGCTAGCCCAGCAGCTTTTCGTGTCCAGAATGTAGACAAGCCTGAGCGCTCTCGCTAGCAAAAAAAGGGGAAAATAGCACTTTTTGCGAACACATACATATGCATTTCGAAATGAATTCATCAGTGTTCTGCATGGTCAAAACAAGGAAATAACCCAAACCCGCAAACTTTGTACACGCTTGAACACGTGCTGGTTGGCCCTTTTTACATAGTGTCGTGTGCTGCCCAGCCAAGGCATGTAAAAGGCAAAAGGGGACGGTTGGGTTTGTTAGAGCGGTTGAACGGCGAGCCGGCGATTGTGGCTGGCTGTCCCTGGTCGTAGGTGCAAGCGCCACTTGGGATCAGGAGGTGCGATCAGTGAGCATCTCCAAACCCTCCCTCCAACCCCATCTGGCGACTTTAGCTGACGTGATTTGGGAGCCACAAGGGGCTCTTGATTGGCTTGGATCCCAACGCAAGGCCTGGCGATCTTGGACAACGCGTGGAGCACAGAGGCTGCCGAAGCCGTTTTGAGGGAAAAGTTCAGCTAGCGCTGCAGCAATAATGGCGAGTTGAAAATGGGATACCCGCAGCGATGGCAGAAGATGGGGACAGCCTGGGCGCGATCAATTGAAGCAATTTAGGCGCTTTCCGCGAGGTTGAATGCTCGAGGAAGGTTTTCAGACAAGTCAAGTTGGGTTTTGTGCATGGCATGGCTTGTACTGCTTCGTGACAATTACCTTGCCCCCTAGCGCCAACGGTTTTCCCATCTTCCCCATACGTCAATTTGGCGCTGTGTGTACCAAATCGGCGCAGTTGTTCCCGTCAAGGAGCCCAGGCTTTTTGTTTACGTTTACGGCACCATTTGTACGTTAGCTTCTTTATGTGTAAAAAACGCCAACACACAGAAACCGCTATTTTACTGCTATATTTATGTATTTTTATGGCGTTGAGGCGCTCAGGCTACGTGATGAAATTCCAAGCAATGATGAGTCCTCCGCCTCCTTGAGCACCCGCAACACAACGTCCATCTCGCCCTGGCCGAGGGCCACAACCTCTTCAAAAAACATCGTTTTCTGCCCGCTCCATCGCGTCCGGTTGCCACTTCCCGGGCTCCCTGGGCATGGATGTACTGTCTTTATGTAACGGGGGCCTGTACTTACGTATTTTTACACGCATTTGCACGTAAAAGCGTAAATACGATCTGTATTATGCTGTAAGCAACCAGCCTGAAGTGGACAAAAAGCCCTTGGACGACGGACCCGACTTTTTAAGGTTGCTGGCGTATTATTGCAGCCTTCTACGCTATTGCAGCTCTCTGTGCTCTCGCGACACGAAGGGAATGATCCTCGTGATTTAATGTGTTGCATGGACGGTTTCTCCTCCTTTTTGTCCCGGCTAAATCATTTGTCTTCATCACCACACGTTTGTTTGCTGATACTGTTTGTAACCAGAACTGATGGAGTATCATTAACAGCTGAATGCCTAAAGAGGTGATGAGGCATTAAGAATTGCATTAGGGACATTGATGAACGGGCTGGATATAAAGGGCAATACCGCTGTGGCAAATACACCGCCGCGATGATAACCATACTAATGTAACCACAATTCCACGCCTGCACTTCATTCGCCACCCCTCCAGCCAGTTGTCCCTCTTCACCGAGCAGCAGCCGAGGCCAGGCATGGGGAAACGCGTCGGCAAGGGCGCGGTACGTCAGAGGTGGTCTGCACCGCTTTGGCATCTTTCGGCACCGCTTATTTGGGGAATGTTGCTGCGCCCAGACCGGCACAGAAGCGACACAGTGGTTGCCAAATGAGCCACACCCGCCGCTATGCGCAGCGCGGCCGCTATGAAGACCTGATTCTGAGGTGTCCCACTGGCGCAGGGTGGACCGTACCCTCGAAAGCGCATCTATCGTGCTCGGGCGCACGGCAACCCATTCAGTGACGCCGTCTTCCCGGTACCTCTGTCACCGGATGAAGTGGACTGGTGGGTGTTGTTGAGCTGTACTTCAAAAAAGGTGGCATTCAACGGAGCATCCCGAGCAAGGATGCTCTGGGCCCTTTTCCGCTTCGCAGTACAATAGGAGGCACCGAAAGCAAGAGTGAGATTGGAGGAAGGATTGCACAAGGAAGCAAGAACATGAACTCAAGGGAGAACAAATAATCGCCATTGAGCGCTGTTGCTGCTCAACAGATGCATGGAAGCTCCGAAACAAACAATGCATCATCTCCATGTATCCTAACCTGTCTAAATGTGTCCACAGCATCGGATCCAGTTGTTTCCACGGTGCAAATCACATTTGCTTCACTAACTCTATGTTCCAGCACGTTGAGTCCAAAACAATGGTATTCTGGCAAAGGCGCTTGAGTGCACCAGTTCTCAGCCAGAGCCATTTCCAATCGCACGAAAGATCCGGTCCCGCTGCATTCTTTTGTTGGACAACAGATCAAGTTCTTGCAAAAGTGTAACCGAAACTGATGTGCAAGAAGCTTGCCAGAATAAACAGTGCTGGTGGTGTGGGTGGAAGTTTCTGTTGGCGCTCCTTATGGCAACATGATATCACTGATTGATGAGCCTGCGTACATGGACATCGTTTGACAGTTGATGTCACTATAGCAGCGTAGTGCACAGTAGTGAGGATGCACATAGTCCAGAATCGCCTTATCGATGCTTGGGGATAAATTGGCACATTCGCAAATGAAGCATGGCATTTATCTTTGTTCCCCAGGGCCAGTCACTTCCCCAAGTTAACGAGAGAGGCAGAGGCAAATGCAGAACAGAAGGCACAGGACAAGAGACCCACTGTTGATTATCTTGATGTTGGCTGCGGCTTTGGTGGCCTCCTGGTCAGGTGTGCCTTCGGAATGTCAGGCATAGTGCAGCTTGGACCTCATTGGATGCCCATGAAGGAATTGTCCCAGTGTTTTTGTGCTCCTGTGACCAGGTTGTCAACCATGTACCCAGAGAAGCTGACACTGGGAATGGAATTGAGAGACAAGGTTACAGAATTTGTTAGACAAAGGATAGGTGAGACAGCAAGCGGGGCCTCCCTGATCTCCCTTCTATTTGACACATCGGTATATCATAACAGACACAATTTCACACATTGATGCATCAGAAGAGAACGAGTTGCGTCTAGGCACATCTGGTACTTTAAATTTGCAGCCCCGGAGCCCATATGATCGGCTCATGCACGATAAATACCAACAGAAGTGGCTGTGGCAAAGATGTCTGTTGTGAATATGTGGCGCCTGAGCTTTGAAACAATGTACTCCCCCTGTGACTGTTTGGATGGGCATGGATCAGGGAGATATAGTTGTGTGGCTTGGATGTGAAGCAATGGTGGTTCCCACAACCACAGTTTGGCAATATGTATTGAACAAGTATGCCGCATACCCTTTGCACCAACAGCTGTAAAGGGGGATTGTAACAGTTGTGAATCGATGTCAGAATCGTGTTGAACCGTATCTGGCTGCTGGAATCCATGGACCTGAAGTATTCACAACCTAATCGATGGTGTATGACTGTCCCAGCGGCATTTATCTTGCTGACAGGCTGTTCTGGATTCTGTCTATGAGGATGTAATCTAAGTCGTCAACTGACAATGCAAACAAACAGCCCCATGGAGCAGAGCTGCTGGTTTGTGTTTACCGCATCAAGCACTTCCTCTTGCACTTCTTGTCTGTTAAAAGTTGGAGTTTGGAGTTTGGCTGAAAATTACAACAAATCATGAAGGTGCCAACATTTCAGTCACAAAGCATGAGACACAAATCTGAAGGGATTCGAATGTGATGGTCACTTCCCTGTCAGTACAGGTTGACTCCCCCATGGCACCAGTTGGACTGAGGAGCAGCTTGTTTTGCTTCCTTGTGACAAAAGGGACGTTGCGATATCTATTGCATGACACATGCTTTTGTCCTGTGTGCAGCTGCCCTACGACAGCAGCATCCCGGGCAATACACAAACATTAGCTGTGTGCGCTCGAATGCACAAAAATACTTGCCAAACTACTTTCGGAAAGGCGAGCTGGAAAAGATGTTCTTCCTCTTCCCGGTGAGTTGCTCTGGTGCCACAGCAATGAAGCTATTCAGTGTGGAGGGAAAGTTATAGTATGCTTCTGGTATTTCAGTATGAATTTCACCATTTGCTCAGGCACACCCCCTTGGTGCACAATGTTACGCTTTCTATTGCAACTGGGAGCGTCAAAGTTGTACTGAACAATGTCGCATGAATCCTGAGAACTTTGACTGGGCAGGCAGTACCCAGTGTGTGGTTCTGTTGTCACACAAGCCCAGCTGATGGGCACAGAGCATAGTTTGTCTATGCTTTATGGGGTGAAAAGGTTGCCTTTGATCCACATGTGGTGAACGAACATGGACGTTGTCGACAGCAGTCAATGCCACGTTGAATGACAAGAGACTAGGAAATGTCTATTTGGCAATGCACAACTGGGACGTCTTATCTTTAATTGACGTTGGTGCATGCGTTGTGCACTATCATTGGTAGGATCCCCACTTCAAGGTGTCGAACCACCGGCGACGAGTCATCAGCAACAACCTTGCTACAGAGTATGCTTATTTTTTACAGCCAGGAGGGACAATCTACACCATCACTGATGTGCCGGAGCTTGGGCAATGGATGGTGGGTGTCATGTGGTGTGCACATTGGTGGTACAAGCTTTGCAACCTGCTGAAATTGGCTGCACACTGTGCTTGATGCTGCTACAGAAACAATAAGGCAGTGACAACGAGCATTTATCTATTGACCAGACGAATGCACAGCTGTGAATCATGTCACAGTCCAGTGCAAATTCATGTCCAATGCCCGGCCCAGTGGGTATTGACCATGTTTGTCCCTACATTTGCGTAACAGAGGAAGATGGCTCACTGTTGTTTCTGCCACAGTACATGCTTGGCGGCTTCCCTCCACCCCACCCCCAAGAAAAGAAAAGAAAAGAAAAGAAAAGAAAAGAAAAGAAAAGAGAAAAAGAATGGCACAGGATCCTTTTGATGTCCCCATGCCACAGTTATGCCACAGTTGATGTCCCAATGCCACAGACGTGGCGGCTGCTACATACTGAGTTTGTGGACAGCTGAACCTGCCTCCCAGGCTCCGACAAACGCAACGATTCCCTGGGGTTCATTGCACCCTGGATCCCACAGGAGGCTTGAATTGGGATTGCATTGCTGGAGTACCTTGGTGGGCGTATGTGACATATTCCAGTCAGCTAGGTTTCCTGCTTGGGCGTTGTGGACTGCCAATGTACGTCTAGAAATCGATATTTCAAGTGACAACACATCAGACTGGCCACCCTCCTATCTGTGTGCTGCCCCCAAACGCCATCAACAGCATCCAGGCAAACGCCTTGGTCGGTTGGACGGCCGATCCCTTGTAGGCATGGCACAATCTTGATACGCGATTATGTGCATTTTGATTTGGTTGAAACTCGGGACACACCTTTGCGAAATGGCATTTCGTTGCCAAGGAAAGCTGGCTGAATTCGGGCAAATGCTCTGAAATGCGCAGAAGGACACTTTGGATGAGCACCCTTTGTTCCAGCCATACACTGAAGAGGAGTTGAGGGAGGACCCCGTTGTTGACATTCTTGCTGAGACGTCGGAAGAGGGACAAAAGGTGCACAGAGCGGGGGGCCAGACGTACAAGGCGGTTTACAGACGGGTGCTTGGAGAAGAGGAGCGATAAAGTCACTGGATGCATCACATTTTGGGCGTCAATCAGAGATAATGTCCTACTTTAGGAGATTTGGAATGGGTGGCATAGGAAACATTATCTTTGAACCACATGAGAATGGCACGCGTGTTGCAAGAATTGTTTGAATGCTGTGGAATGTACTGTCAATTTATTGTCATTCACTGTTCGAATGGTTGCCCAGCGATGCGTCCCTTGCAAGGGATATTGGAGCATGGAGTGGGGTGGGATGGGGTGGATGGGGGGAGGTTCCACGACGATGATTGCTCCACTAGGGACTGCACCACGTCGATTTGGTACGCTGAGCGTTGACTTGACAGTAAATGTGCCAAAATAGGCATAGCACAATGAGACTCTGCTGTTGGTCGCGGAGCCCTTCATGTCAGATGTGGGCACAATGGTATGATGCGACCAGAAACTAAACCGCATGTGTGACGCCTTTGAGATTTCCACGCAGCCCTGTTGATCGGCTCTCCAATATCCTTGGCTGCAACTGTTGCCAACAACTCGATAGTTGGACTCGGCAAGAAGTCAATTATGAGGAAAGTTCCGTGCCTGGCAACAGCCCTATCACATTCCATGCCTCTTGCGGGTGTGAAGTACGGGGTAGTACGTCAGCTCACGCATGCACTCGAATCCCTTCTTACTGCTGTACTGCCGGTCCTTCCTGAACGTCCTGAAGGCGATGCCCTTACAGGTGTCTCTTCCTAGACTTCAGCAAACACGTTTACCCGTCCTCGAGCTGCACGGCTCTGTCCAGTGAGCATGCTGCCGACAGGCTCCTGTACACTAAATCGGTAAAGGCGGTGTTGAATTTGTATCCTGGACGACGTTTTGGGCCGGGCCCCCAGTGGCGCCCTGTTCTTGGCCATGTCACTGGCTGGGTCGGCTGTAGTCTGGAGGGGAAGTCTTTTGGCTCATCAACCCGTTTCCTATGGACGAGCCCTGGGGGTAGTGGGCTTCTGTGGGTCCTCCCCGCTGTACTGAATCACTCCACTGAGTCACCAATCACTTATTCGCCAGCCGTCCCCCTCGCCCCCAAACCAACCCGCGAGTTGCCCGCGGCCCTCCACCGCGCCCAGGGCCGCACCCCACACCGGAGGCAGCAGCCGCGGCGGTTGAGGCGCCCACGACCCGGTGACAGGTAGAGAGGAGGCCTCGCGTTTCGTCGGCGGACCGCCCCTCTCCCCCCGTCCCATCCGCTCGTCCCCAACCCTCTCCCCTTCGGACGATCGGCAGTCGCTGCGTGGGACCGCTGGTTGAGGCCTCCCGCGGATCCCGCGTGTTGGCAGCCATTCGAGGCCGGACGCGATTGCAACGCTTAGGGTCGGAGGTCCCGTCGCTGTAGTCCGCTGGACGGGAATATTTCCGTCGCACTATTCCGATGTTTTGGCGCTGCTCGCGCTGAACGCCGGGATCCCCGCAGAGAAACGGAAGCCCCCTGCTCTTACAGCGGCCGCGCATCTCGCCCCGTGGCCTGTCTAGGTGGATCCAGCCGGCCGTCGTCAAACCTGGACAGAACTTTGGGCCTGGCGCGAGCCTCGGCGTTGCGCGTCTCTGAGCACCTGCCGGAAGCGCCGCTGCTCGCGTGGCGTGAAGTGCAGTGCCTCGAGGGGCGCCAGCGCTGTCGTTAGAAGGAGGCGCTGGAAAACGGATGCCCGCGCGCCGTGGCCAGTGCCCGCCAGACGCGAATTGTTGGCCAACGCGCAGTGCAGCTTTCCACTACGCGTTGCTGGATACCGTGCCACGCTTCTGTGCAAATTTGAGGAGTGGTCCACTGCCACCATTTCCGTCTCTTGTTCTGTCTTTTGGATCTGCGGCCGCCACTGCAGCCCTGTGCTTCCCTAGGGGCGCATCGTTGCAGTTTGGGCAGATATGGGAAAGCGATTTCAGCGATTGTCAGCTGAAGTCACACCACCATGATTGCTCCATGGTTCACTGCAGTCCACGGCAAAAAACGATCTCATATATTCACCACTGCAGATGGCCTGGGCACCACCTTGAATTGACTGCTGCAAACTCTCTGCCAGTCGTGCGAATTTCTGCAGTGAGCAGCGCCAGTCTTGAAGGACCGCCTCCCTCATTCTCTTCGTGTCAGCAAACTTGCCCAAACTTCCTCTCATGCGATGAACGATACCAGCAGTATGCACAATGTTGTTGAAGGGCTTCTAAATATAACAAACACTACTAAATTGTTGTTTTTGCTGGTTTTTATTGCTCCTGAACACTCTATAACATATTCCAGGGCATGAAAATGAGCTGCGCCGAATTTTGCTCAGGAAAAGGTCTCCCGATGTCCAATTGGTGTCCTGTAAGACAGGCAGTCTTGAACAGTGTCCGTTGGTTTTCAGGACAATGGACAGTCCGCCACCCCCAGGCCCCCCTGGACCCTCTGAGGGTTCTGGTAAGGACAGGGCTGTGGGCAGGGACAGATCCCAGAGGAACCACCTGGAGGTTTTCGACTTTGGGTCCAATACTGGCGAGGGAATGTTCATGCTGGTGCTCATGTTGCTGTACCTCATGAACATGGCGATGTCAAGGATATATTGCACGTGCTGAGGGCTCCAAGATCGCTGGTGGCCACTTCTCAACAGAAGTTTGTTGGATGGCATTGGAGGCCCTTGCTAGGGATTGGACAGTGGCTTGGGTCCACAGCATGCAGGGCGTGGGCACCAAGGAAGGGTTGGGCTGGGAATGCTGTATGTGGAGCCAACACCAACCAAGTGACCGGCAAGGTGTTGTGGGCATCTGTAGCAAACGAGTCAAAAGGCTTCGTTCAGGGCTGCAGGCTCACAAGCATTCTGAACGTCTCTGGGCTCTCAGGAGGTTGGTGACTGCTGACCCAGCAGGATCCGGCAGAAGGTTGGTGTGAGTGGCTGACCAGGTAGCGCAAGTCGCTGCAGTCACACGCCTGCAGCAGCATCGCTGTTCGTGGGGGATGTGGAGGGAGCCAAACGCTGGGAAAGTTTTCACGCCCTTTGGTGCTTATCCTGGCGGAATAACCCGCGTTGCACAGCCAGCAGCATGTGAGGATGCGGTCCCTGCTGCATTGGCGCCAGAAGTGTGATGGATAGAGGCTGGTCTGAGCTGGTCTGAACTTGGGGTCATCAGTGAATGCTGTTTCATTTTTTACTTGTGCAGTGAGAAATTTGCAATGTTAGAAGGCAGCACATGTGTGGTCTCTACTCTCTGCTCGCACCTTGGTGAAGTGCCCCGCGCTCTGGATAAATGATAATAATGCACTGATAGCCAAACCACAGCTGCAGGGACAATGACAAGCCCAAGGAGGTTCCTTGGCCAGGGAAGCCCGAACAGCGTCGCAGCAGCGTCAAGAAGCACGAGTAACGCTGTAACGGTTCCCAAACAGACCTGTAATATGAGAACACACAGCAACGAACCGATCTGCAGGCGAGAAAATGTCCGCTGGGAGCCATCCGGGCTGCATCGCGACGCCAGCCTCCACCCAGCATTCCAATTATCGCAACAGACATCCAGTACGAAATCGCTCCAATCAGGCTTGTTATTATGTTGCACGCGCAAAATAGTTTTTACATTTTACGCTAAAAAATACGTAAGTACAGCTGTTCGATGAAGCCGCATAATGAGCACCGTTTCACCGGGTGACTCGCTCATGTAATAAGCTCACGACGGGTGTCGACCGTATGCGCGATGCACACTGCATGGGATAGGCCCAGCAAGCCACCATTGCTGATGAAGAAAGAAAAAAAACAAAGAGTGAGAACACTCCTGCAAGCATAAGGGCTGCAATGTCCTGGGAGTGAGTTTCACCGAGGCAGGAGCTAACTGGAGGAAGTCGCTCTGTGTACTCAAAAGAATCATGTCACTGATCAGCTCCCCAGACTGGTCACGTCAAAGGCTATTCTGGGAGGTCCTGCACCGTAAGGGTGTAGGCTTGGGGTCAAATCGGGCTCATTGGACTGTCCGTTGACGCCTTGATCCGTCAGGATCATTCAGGCCGTCCGACCTGACGAGGGCGGACACATGGTCTGTTGGTGTGCACGGAAAAATTGGTTTTGATGTGACTGAAAGTTTACAATTAGCATAAAACGTGACCTGAATTGCACTTGCAGCACAGGGTACATGTGAATGGATCAGTTACCATTGGCTGGTGCAATCAGCAATGGGCATGCGCATTCAGTGTATCCTCATTGACAGGTTGTTCGCGTCCGGTGGGTACACTCGCAAGCAGTCGCCCTCCCAGGCACGGGGAGCAAGACGCAACCAGGTCGATCACAGAATGATCGTGTCGGTCACGTAGTGTTCACTGCGTGCCCCATCCATGTTTCACCCAATCATTCCCCATTTCACCGTATTAACACCATATTCAATTCACCATCAAAACCCATCCTCCACATAATTATTTATGTACTCTCCCATCCTCACACTCGTGATGTGCACGGTTACGTCCCGACACTCCCGTAGGAATGCACATGCAAGCTGGAGGGCTGTAAGATGCCCTGACATGCTGTGATTTCTCATGGGTGAGGCAGTTATGTCAGCGGTCTGAGGGGAGATGGCACCTAATCGTCCTGTGCAGCATGTGGAAAATGCTTTCCCATCACTGCCATGAAGCCATGTGTGGCTCATGACCTCAGGACACCACCGGAAATTTGCTTTAAAAAAGGATACAGTTGGCTTGATGTGGTTTATCGTGCATCACATGCGCCAGAGCTACCCTTTGGGGATTGCAGGTCGTCCGTTCCGCTGCGAAACGGTTGGTGCGCGCAGGACATTTCCAGCAACTTGAGCTAGTTGGATCGGCGATCGCTTTTGGGCCTTGTTGGCGTTGGTGTCTTACATCTGTATAGTTGCATTGTCGCCATTGTGGTTGTTGTTCTTCCTGGATCGTCAACGCGATCGTTGACCAAAAGGCGTCCAGCCCTTTCCAGATTGTGGCAGAAGAACGCACGGTTCGTGGAAGACAACGTAAGGCAAGGGGCGCCGTCGTCGTCGCGGACTCCGTTAGACAGCAG